GGTCCTGTTTTTTATTTCAGTTATTTTCTGCACAAATATTTTTGCACCTTTATGAAAAAAATAAAACAAAAAAAATGTTTATAACTATATTAATAAAAATAAACTCCAATATCTAATAAAACTAACACAACAGTAAACTTCCTCGTATTAACAGAAAAATAAAAGAAAAAACCAATTTTTTTATACGGAGTGGTCAAGTTTAGGCTTTATGGCTGCTATCTAAAACAAAAAAAAAACATTCAAAACTTGTATCGAAAAAATAACAAACATGTTTTAGACCTTACTTTTCAATGCAAATTTCGCACAACACCTTCTTGCGGGAATGATTCTTGCATCTTGCGTACGAGATGAAGTGGGAGAAATTTTAGCCCACTTGAACCTGTTTTTACTAAAATAGGAATTTCTAGGGTCAGAAATACTATTTTCCTCGGTTGAAGAATCACTGATACTTTGGGAGCTATCGTTTTGTATATCTTCTTCGCTTTCATCATCCCATTCTTCTTCGGAATCTGTTTAGTGATCACTGTGTTCACTAACTTGATCTGAAAACTCATATATAACTATATAATCCATTGTCCATAATTTTTTGTGCCTCCGCTTCAAGTTCACTTTGTGTCAGGCCACATTTATTTTTACTACACCCGGCCATTTCAAATAACCCACAGATCAATCTAAACACAGTTATATCATAAGCGGGTCAAATTTGACCCTACGCCTACGTGTCTCTGCAGTGGTTAAAAATAGACTAAAGCAATTTACGGGATCCGATATATCACTGACCGCTCGATGATTACACGAAGGCGCGTAGAGAGCCATCTATATTCTACTACTGGAAATTGTCGTCAAAAACGTGTGGGGTCAAATTTGACCCCGCCATGGTACTTAAGGGTTAAGCAGAATCGTGATTACTCAACGGTCATATTTTATGAAACACCCTGCATAAATTTATAAAAAATCTTAAAATATGTAAAATAACAAAATAAAATACACGTATTTAAGAGTTTTTTCGAAAAACTCACCGGTTTTTAAATAAAAAATATTTTAATATTTGAGGGATAGTTTCACCCCCTTAGAATTCGAGTTTCGAAAAATCCCTTCTTATCGAACTTCTACACCCTAAAGTCAATCTGTTTTCCAAAAATCAGCTTTTTACGTCAAGCGCTTCAAGAAGGATCGTGATTAATCAATGACCAGATTTTTCGAAACATCCTGTATACATTTTTAAAAAATCTTAAAATATGTAAAAAAACAAAATAAAATATACGTGTTTAAGCGTTTTTTCGGAAACTTGACCGTTTTTTAAATAAAAAATATTGTAATATTTGATGGGTGGTTTCACCCTCTTGGAACTGGAATTTCGAAAAATACCTTCTTATCGAACCTCTACACCGAGGGTTGTCTCACTCGGGTAAAAAATGTACACGTACTGCCAAAATATCCTTCCACTGCCAAGTGACTGCCAATGACTACGAAGAAGACTGCCTATGACTGCCATGTAATTATTATAGGCGACTGCCATAAGACTGCCGATGACTGCCAGCGATTGCCAAGAACATGTACATGTAATTCCAATAGACACCCCTCGCTCTACACCCGAGAATCAACATGTATGCCAAAATCGGGCTTCTTACTTTGAGTGGTTTGAGCAGGATCGTGATTAATCAGTATGTCATATATTAGTATAGATTTCTGTATTGCACCTCATAATATTGACATAATGTGACGCTTCTCAATAGAATTAAAAAGGATTAACTCTAACGAAAAATAAATTTCTATTGTAACCAAACCGAAAAAAATTTGTTGTTGATAAAGTTGAGAGATGACGCTCTATGGCGCTCTATAGGCGCCGAATTTTTTTTTTATTTTAAATTGGGTTTCCAAAAAATAGAGTAAAAAGATGGGAGTATATACCGGGTACGACTCAAAAGTCCAAAGGTGGCTCATCTCTATAACTTACCCTCGGTATTTTTTTGCTTTTTTCTATGGAAAATGACAGTCTGAATAGAATGACATAGCATATGTATATAATGTCAACTGACATTTTCGCATATGGTTTGTATGGCATTGTAACATGCGGTTCATAACGACAATTTGGCTCAAAATATCAAGTGTGTAGTACGAAATTATTCGTAAAAAAATGCTTTTCCTAAATATGGTAATGAGCCACCCTCGTTTCATTTATAAAAATTGAGGTATTATTAAAAATACGATTTGGTCATCTTTTAATCGGCCAGGACAAGACACTAAAAACATTAAACGATCAAATCTATTTTTCCAAGGCTTCCTATTTCACCAGATATTACTACAACTTTTCATTTTTAAATGACACTCTGGGTATGTTTTTACTTTATTTGATAGAAAATGAACACATATCATATGTCAACTTTTGATATTTTCGCATATGGTTTATTTGAAATTGTAACATGCGGTTCACTTCAATTTGACTCGAAATACCAAGTGTGTGGTACCAAATTATTCGTCAAAAATGCTTTTTTAAATATGGTAATGAGCCACCCTTGTTCCATTTGAAAAAATTGAGATATGATAAAAAAAGGTTTGGGCATTTTTAACCGGCTAGAACAAGATACGAAAAACATTAGACGATCAAATATATTTTTCCAAGGCTCCTTGATTAAAAATTAGTGTTTTTAAAGCAGCACTCTAGATTGAAATTTAAAATACGATTCAGAGAGTTATTTTTTTATCGAATAAAGTAAAAATATACCGAGAGTGCCATTTAAAAATCAAAAGTTGTAGTAATTTCCGGTGAAACATGAAGTGACCAAAAACAATTGAATACGTCAATCATTCCTAATTTATGTCATATACTAACATTAAAAAAGGTAGAAAAAAGACTCAAAGTCTTGGGTTTTCTACCTTTTTTAATTTAAACCAGGTCTCTTTGAGAAAAATGGGCGCCTTCTTTAAATATTATATACTAACATACCAAATCTTGTTTTTTGTCTAAAAAATAAAAAAGTTATAGGGGTGAGCCACTTTTGAGATTCACCCTGTATAAGTTCGGGAATTTTAGCATACAGTTTAGTTTACATGATAATTGTGATACAGCTGACTAATATGTGAAAAATTTCAAAATTAAAACAATGTCAGTTCCAGGGGATATTTTATCAAGGCGCTCATTCTTCTCAAAGAGACTCAAAGTGTCGGCCTCAACATTTATATTAGTCTAAACAGTGACAGGTGTTTCGCTCATACGAGCATCATAAAGCAAAGTACAGTTGAAGTCAATCCACACACATCGTTCACATTTTACATATTAAAACAACACAACAGTGTTGTTTTAATGTCTGATAATGATAATATGCCTGAATTTTAAATCTATGCAATTCTGAATATAAATAGACCAGTCGACAAGTGGTTTTAGGTGGAAATAATTAGGGGCAAGCTGCAATAACACTTATTCCCTTTTTTGCTTTGTCGAATACTCTACTAAATTTGCACGGTCTATCGATTCCGGATTTGGCCGCCATATTGGAAAATCCTGTCAAAGTATGACATTTTTATGTTTTTTTTTAAATAACTCGGTCTGGGTGGACTGTACAGAAAATTCGATTTTCGAAAAATTCGAAAGCTCTTTAAATTCTCTACAAAAAATGTCCTATTCGCCGATTTCGTGCATGAACAGGTTAACGAGATACAAGCGCTTAAATACGAAGCATATATTTTCTAGTGGTTCATTTAATATGAGAAACTGATTCTATGTAAATTTGAATAATTTGCCAGTACAAATTTATATGTTTCTGCTGCTCGTTTTCACACTACCTGGTGGTAGAGCACTCGACGCACTTTTTTTTAAGTGGTTTCCCCTATTATAGGCCTAATCCTAATATTTGTGTCTTACTTCGGAATAGTATAATGATATAATGAAACACTAAAACTAAAGGTCGCCCGAACTGGTTTGCGTAATTGACCGCACCCCGGCATCCGGCTGCCGTCTCGCGCTGTTGTCGAATAGATCAAGTATCAAATTTAACGTTAGAGCACATTAAGATGTATTTAAAAAAAATTGGCGCCGGGAGGCACGTATAGCCGCCCATACTAAAATATGTTAATAAAAAGTTGGTAGGCAGTTCTTTTAGTTTCAAAGTAAAGGAATTTTTCCAATTTTGGTCCGCGGTTATTTCCCCTATCCGCCACCTGGGGTCGCGTCCGATGGGAGTTTGGAGTTCTCCACACGGATTTTCTCAAAAACGGATTACGGAAACACGGAATATCTCAAAAACTGCAACTTTGACTGATTTTGATGTTATTACACATTTTGTTGCAAATATTATTCCTAATCTTAAATTGAAAACCGCGTTTGACTAGCTACTGTAATTTTGGAGTTACGATTTTTTAAAATGTTTAATCCCCCCCATATCCCCTTACCAAACCCCCACCCCCACCAAAATCTAATGGCCAGATTCTCGGGTGCCACAGTATTTTGTGCCAAATTTGGTTAAAATCGGTTTAGCGGTTTTTGAGTTATCGTGTTACAGACGGACAGACAGACAAACAGACAGAAACCATGAAAATATTTTGTATTTAGGTCATTTATCACCCAAATAACTCATTTAGAGTGAAATTAAAAAACTTTTTTTGCCGATCTTAATAGCCTACCACACCTGTTAGTATGGTCGGCTAATAAGCCTTGATGTTAACTGCTATAACTTTAGAACTGATAAGTTTACGAGAATCATTAATAGAACCTTTTTTGTAGAGAATTTAATTTGCTTTATTTTTGGTTACCTGCATTTTTTTCTACAATGCACCCAGACCGAGATATTTTAAAAAATCCATAAAAATGTAGTTTTTATATCGACTTTTTCAAAATGGCGGTCAAATCCGGGATTGACAGACCGTGCAAAATGAATATATCATTCAGCACATCAAAACAAAGAAAACAAAAAATAATTCAGCTTGCCTCTAATTATTTCGACCTATTAAAAACGACGTATCGACTGGCCTAAAACTAATAAATCTTATTTTCTTAATTTCAGATAACAGAAGCGTTATCGTTTTTGCATTTTTCCGGACATATCATTCATCGAAACGTTTGTCCAGGAAGTATACTGGTGACGAAACGTGGCACCTGGAAGCTGGCGGGATTAGAATTTACAGGTAACTCTATAACTATATAACTATAACAGCATCTACACTACAAAAAAGCTCTTCGAAACATGTCAAGGTCGCATTTCGTAGCCCAAATTTGACGCATTTTAATTTTTTTTTAATATTGTAAAAAATCACAACAGTGTATTTCTTTATTTCAATATAAATTATATGTATACAATATTATTATTACTAATTTAGAATAATTAATCTGACATTTTCTTTTGTAAATTAACTTCAGTGTTTCAACATTCAGTAATTTAAGTGTTGTATTTTAGAACGCGTGAACGATGTAGATGGCGTTGAACCAGTTCCATGTCAACCGTGGACATCCCGACTGTCAAAAATGGCTCAACCAAATTTGGACTATACAGGTAAGTTCCGATAATATTCTTAAATATATAGAAATTTGTGAATTGGACTTGGTTTTTCAATTTTTAATTTAGAAAACAAATATGATGTTCGTATATTTTATTACTAAATTACAGGATAACTTCAATAGTCCGGACACATTTTAGAATAATTTTAGAAAAAAAAAATTAAAATAATGTAACTTATTTTATTAGCTTCTGTATTTCTATCTAAGCTTATTAATTTAGAAAAAATTAACATTCCTTTTTTTTTGATGTTTTACAATTTATGAATATTTTTTACAAATGTCTTGGTTTTCTTCTTCTTGTTTTATGACGGCTCTGCTACAAGGCAATCGCCGGCTCAATTTGAGAGTGACCAAGATGTTGAGTGGCTGTAAACCATATAAAGGCCATTGATTCTTACCTGATTAAATGTATAATGAGTAAATTTTAATATAACTAACTTCTATGAAGGTAACCTGTGACTATAAAATGTTATTATTATTATTTATTAAATATATATATAAATGAAGTGCTGAAAGGAAGATTATATCACAAACAAACGCAATAAGGTAGAGGTCACACAAACAGAGTTGTAGAAAGTTGAGCATTATAATTTAATTCTATTAATGTTTAAAATTATCATAATGGTTTGTATTAATTTTTCACTTGGCTTTGACAAAACTGTAAATATTGAAAGTGGGGTAGGAAAATTCATTTCAATAATTTTTTTATATAAATCCAAATTAAACAAAAAATTTATAGGACATTCTAAAAAGATATGATTTAGCTGTTCAACAGAGCCACACTCGCAGTATGGATGTTCCGCATCAAGCGTCAAAAAATGTCATTTTATGGTAAAACAACGTGTACCAAATTTAGTGATTTTCGTCCAACAGGGCCCTGAGATATTTAAAAAAAACTCTTTAGGGGCGAAATTTAGGGGGCTGTAAATCCGAAAAGGGGGGCCACTGGCCAGAAATAAAAAATACGGGTCACCTATTTTTTTTCAAGAACCTATGACCAAATTTTGTTGCATTAATTTCCGGACACCCTGTATATACTGGAAATTTTTAAACCATATATATTTGTTTTATATTTCTTTTTTCGTAGCTCTGTTAGGTTGGAAACAAAACTCTTGCTTTTTTATTTATAACAAAATGCTCGTAAAAATTATACCGCAAACATCGAAAATATCTTTACATATCGTAAAATGCAAAACATTTATGATCAAACAGGGTCAACAGATATAATTTCCTATAAGAATTGATATTGTTACTTAAAAATTCTGTTTTATGTTAAAACGTATTAAAAAAGTTATTGGATGTTTTGGAAATATAAATCGATTTAGAGCTAATTGAGTAAATATTGCAATCTGAAGCGAGTAATAACACCAAAATATTCAAGTGACTGAACTATTTCGACAGATCAAAAATCGTAAACATATTTGGGAATTAAAACTACAGCAGAATAGCTTTTAAAGCGTTTAGAACAGTTTTCGAAAAAAGAGGCGATTTTATTTTTTCAATTTTTATTTTCAGAAATAATGAAACAGAACATGGCATTGAAGTTTTTCATTTCGATTTTAGAACAAAGAATAATTTTTTCCAAAATAATTACGATTATTTCTCTCATCGTGAAATGGACCAATCAGCATAATTTTTCGAATAAATTTTGTTTAGATAAGTGATTAAATCCCAAGACCAGTTTAACCGCGATTATTTTTTCGGCTTCCTTTTGGATTTTCTTTTTGTCGTTTATCACTAATTCTGAGAGATGTTGGCAACAGTTCATTTAAAAACATTGATTTACAATTCATATGTATGACTTAATAACGATTTTAATCGGTGAAAACCCCTTATTAGATATTATTTTGAACAAATAAGTGGAGAAAAATACGTCAGAATTTGATATGTTGACATGCGAAACGGTCCTCGATGCATTGTTGGGATGCGTAACCAAGGTAGCAGAAGCACAAACCATAGATAAAAGAAAATAATATACTATTAAGATAGATATGAAACTTAATAGTAAAATTTTGGGTCAAAGCGCCCCTCCGTGTTTTTAGTAGAGACTACGTTTAACCCAGCGCCTTCGCTTTTTCTGCTGCAAATGTTTTTTATGTTTATATTTGAATTCAAAGGATTTATTTTTAAAGTTACACTGATATCAGAGTAACTTTAATAAAACATAAGAAAATATATATATATATATATATATATATATATATATATATATATATATATATATATATATATATATATATATATATATATATATATATATATATATATATATATATATATATATATATATATATATATATATATATATATATATATATATATATATATATATATATATATATATATATATATATATATATTATATATATATATATATATATATATATATATATATATATATATATATATATATATATATATATATATATATATATATTTTACAATTTATTTTTTTATTTATTTTACAGAGTTTCATGTAATTGATCGTAAGTCCACTGGCTGTCTAATGAATAGACCTAGATTTATAGATTTTAAAGCGAACGAAAAAAAAATCAAACAACGAATACATACCGTATATTTTCCTTTTATCTAAGATACATACCTTATCGTCTTTTGGAAACCCGTACATTTTTGCAGTTTTGTTAGTTTCTTTGCAAGATGCAACACAACATGAAAACACCATTTTTACAGTTAATAAATAATAAAACTATTTCTGACTATCATATTTAAAATTTAGATAGATAGAAAATTAAAAAACAAACGAGTATTTGCAAACGCAGGCCCAAATTCAATAAAAATCAAAATTTTTTCTGCGAAAATCAGGCTTTTTTCACTGACATGGTATTTTTTTTATTTATCAGCAGTCATTGTGAAGTTGACAATATATAGGGTGTTTTCGAATTAGTCTAAAAAATTATGGTGTGATTCCTCATGTGTTCTTAAAACAATTTTTATATAACAATTGGGTCTAAAGTACTTCCTTTCTGATCTACAGGGTGTTAAAAATTAAAAAAAATCGATTTTTTTGCTTAACATAAATGGTACACCACTGCTTTTTTAAAGAAAATATATTTTTTTCTTGACTGGCCATCCTTTTTCAACAAAATTGATCTTTTGCGTTTTTCTTGTTCATCAAACGGTTGTCGAGAAAAAAATAAATATACTTATTAAGAGCCCGCCTTAATTCGTTTTCTAACGATTTTTTAATTTTTAGATTAATTAGGAAACACCCTGTATATGCATATCACAGGCAACCAAATAAACTAGTAACCTCTAAAAATTATTTTTCCTACCACTAGCGACATACCGTGCTTTTAGTGTGTACTAAATTATTTTATCAAAATTTCACCATATAAGTTTCCAGGCAATGGCACAAACGTTACTTACGAGACGTCATTTTGAAACGTCTTTAAATTTTATTTGCCGCTGTGGTGAAAATGAATTCACGGTTTAGTAGATGTTGTCCGAAAATGTTAAATTTTATAGTTAATAAAATTCTTATAGTTATTTGCTTCATCCTAAGTCATTCGCTTCATTTTTAAGTCATTCAGGAAATAATCTAGCCGAATATTACTCAACCTATAAATTTAATTGATTAAACTACCCAAATAATTTTTTGCATGATTTTGCTTTTTAGAAAATAGTTTCATGCACAATAATTTTAGAATAAAAACCCTCGACCGCTTCGGGGTCTCCTGTTTTTATTAAATTATTTTGCCATTCAACTATTTTCCAAGCAAAATCACGCGTAAAATATATTTGAATAGTTTAATCGATTAAATTTATATATTTCTCGTGATATAATATATGAAGATATACCTACCGGGTGTTTCCCAAAAGTGACTCACCCTTATAAATTTTGTTATTTTTTCAGATAAATTAACGAGATTTGGTATGTTAGTATAAGACATAAATCAGGATTGATTGACGTATTCAATTTTTCACTTTCTGTTTCAGTCCGGAAACGACTACAACTTTTGATTTTTAAATTACAGACTCGGTATTTTTTTACTTTGCTGCCCGCTTCGCTATCCACAAACATTTAGAACGATATATTTCTTTATACAGAGAAGACCAGGCTACAAGTAACATAGCAAATTGCCGGACGAATTTACGTTTACCCGATTTGCGTTCGTACTCGAGATTCACTGCCGGCTAGTCGGCTGGTCAGGCAGTGCGGAGTTGCAGTTGTGGTTGGACGGGTCGGTTGTGACAGACTAGGAATACGACGCGAGGAGTGCCAAGTATTTATTATTTTCATTTTAAGTGTTTACCTTTACTTAAGGTAACATTTAAAATAGAAATACTTAAATATTTATTATTTGAGTGTGTTTACAAGCCAAAACTAAAACTAAATAAATTCTCTAAACCCAAAAAAAACTAAAATATTACTCTAAATAAGAAAAAGTTATAACAAGTGTTCAAAAAGACCACCTTCTTGTGCTGGACAGAAGCATAGGCGGTCGTAAAATCCCCGTCTGACATTAGCTAACATATTAGGGCTAATAGTTTGGAAAGCCTCTCGTATAGCTAAAGCTACTCGAAGCTCATCCAGATTATTAGCCCTATTATGACCATACACTTTGGATTTTACATAACCCCACAAAAATAAATCATTGGGAGAAAGATCTGGTGATCTAGCGGGCTACAAAATAGTTCCATTTCCACTAATTAAACGGTTGGGAAAAGTATTGTTCAAATATTCCTGAACAATACGGGCATTGTGGGCAGGGCAACCATCTTGTTGAAACCAGACATGTGTGTTTTATATTGTGGAATATTTCTCCCAATAACTCACGAATTCTAGGACAATCTGCTGCCGTAACAAGTCCAAATACTTTGCAACAGTTAAATTACCCTCTATAAAAAATGGACCAATCATGTGCTCCCCTACAAAACCACCCCAAACATTTAGCTTTTGAGGATATTGCGTGCGAACCTCAAAATATCTGTGCAAATTTTCCTGAGATGAATATCGTACTTGTGTAGGGTTAT